TATTGCTTCATGTATTAAAAGCAGCTATTCAAGCTCTGTATTTGATCCTAAAGAGAATTTTAACAGTGTGCACATTAGAATGCTTTAATCATGCTGTGTTGTAGGGTGTAATAGAAAAGAGGAATTAATTTTTTTAATTATCCCTGTATCTTAACTTTAACTTAAAGGTTAAAGTAACTTCTTTTTATTAAATAAGAACTTTAATATAAGTACAGTTTTCATGTTAACAGGACACTTGTGGCTGTATAACAAGGTAACAGTCAAATTCAAGAGTTAAACTAAAGCCTTAGTAATGAAAGACTACACAACTCATCTTAAATTTTAAGTTCGCTCAGAACTTATTCCGAGTCAGTAGCAATAACACAAAGCTGAAGAATTAACAATCTTATCAGAACTGGCGAAACCTAGTAAAAATGGTGACAAGGGGCAGAAACTTGCTCTTACAGTCCCAAACCCTTGATTTAACTGATTTATGATTTATGGTGAGGAAGTAGGAAATTGATAGGAAAAGCTGAAATAATACATACCTGGTTAATTAAAATAATAATAACCGTGCAGTTTCATAAGAGAAATTCTCTTCTGTGTGTAAAAGCATTTCATACTTTGTCATGTTTTACTTTTAATTAATCCTCAAATGAACTTATGCTCGAGAATCGCATAAAAGTTGTTACTTTAATATTTTCTGAAAAAGAGTCAACAAGATCAGTTGAAGAAGTTTTCCTAAATATATGTGTAGGAACTGGAGAAAAATAAAAATTTAGTTATTTTTAAAAATTTCTTTAAAGTATCAAAGTATGTTTATAACCATTGGTTGCAAAAATAAAGTTTGGGTGAGGATGTTTATGAACTTTGTGTATATGAAAGAATCAATTTTAATATAACTTTCAATTATACTACTAATTTAACTAATATAACTTTGAAATTTTCTTAGCAGCATGTACATCCTTATTTGCTATGTGCGATACCTCTAAAATTAGTGATTACTAGGAATCGAATACAAACCATAAAATGTGCTGACTTTTCTGTTGTATTAAGGTAGAAGATTAGTGAAATTTAAGCTTTTCTCTTTGATGCATAATTTTTCCTGCTTGTGGATTCTTAAGTATCGTTTGAATAACGTTAAATTGATTGATATGGTTAATTTTCTCTGACAGTCTTTTTTTTTTTTTGATTGAGAGATGATTGATCTGATGCACAGCATTTTAAAATCATACTTTAGTCTTGTATTATATATTTATTTAAGTATTATTTATTGCCAGTTTTATCTTGCATTTTCTCTGCAAAAAATAGGTATTTTTCACTCAAAGAATGTTACAAGAGTGTAAAATATACGTAAGAAAATTTGATATTTTAAGCTTTACAGCTTGTAAAATTTTTAATATAAATGCACTTTGAAAAGAAAATGTAAGTGTAGTCTAGAGAATGGAATACATGTAGTGCTTTTTTTTTGGGGTGGGGGGGGTAAAGGAGAATTCTGGTTCGTTGATAGTTTGAAGATTTTATCCAGAAAGATAAAACTGAGAAATCAGACTGGTTTATTAACCTTCCAGCACATGCACTATGCACAAAGTTTACGACAAATTCAATTTTTAATACATACTTCTCGCATATTGCAGCTGAGATGTCTGAATGTCATTTCTGTTTCTCCTTTCAACCCTTCCCCACATCATGGAATGTGCCAACAAGAAGTCATATGACCTCTTTTATTTTATTACTGTGCTTTTGCGCTACATGGCAGCTTCTTCGTAAAAGTTACGACGCATGCGTGGTTGTGGCTGAAAATTCGGAAAGTATTTTTTCTCAGATATTTTGTAATTTTGTGATATTCATTGATGTGTATTATTTTAATTTGTATAAATTTGACGCTATAATAATATTGGTTTTCATGGCAAAAAAATATTTGCAACCAGCTGATTTTGCTCGCATTCTTCAAGAATTATCTGATGAAGAAAAAGAAGACAAGGAAACATTTGGATGCGAGAATAATAGCGATTTGTGTGAGGAAAATATCGAGATAAATAACATCAGCAGTAAATCTGAACATTATATTTCAGATGATAAAAGTAATAATGATATAGACAAATGGAAGGATGATGACATATTCTATGTTAGTAAGGATAAATTTTCTGAGTGGCAAAATCAGAAGTATGCAAACTAGTCAAAGACAAATAAGATGAAATTGTGAGCATTACCTGGCCTAAAACACCATGCTGAGGGTATAAAGGATGAAGTACAATATTTTTTTAACTAATTGATATAAATATGCTTGATGAAATTTTGGAATGTTAGATAAATATACAAGCTTACTAAAAGGCAAAATACTCAAGAGAAAGTGGCTGCACTGTTACCTGAGTAGAAATGATGGCCTAATTTGGATTGTTATATATAATAGGAATAAAAAAAGGACACCATGTAAATGCAAAAGAATTGTTCTCAAGTTATGGCATTATGGCACTGGAATTGAAATAACAAGAGCTGTGATGAGCTACAAGAGATTTTTATTTCTGACAAGGTATCTTCGATTCTATGTTAAATAACAGGACAGGACAGATGAATATTAAAATTAGCTTGGATTTTAAAATACAGTTATATAATAACTTTTTAAATTTCTATAGTAAAATACATCATTGCTTTTCCACCTGACTAATAAAGTGTTTAAAAAAATAATTTACTATCATTTAAATGTGACATCATTTGTATTTTGCAATAATAAGGTTAATATTGTATATTTTAACAAATTTATTACCAATATTCACTCATTTCTGTCATTTTTCGTGCCCAAAACGGTATAATAACAGATATCGTAAAAAATACGACGTGTGAGGGCTCATGTAAAATAGCCAAGCGCACGTGCTGGAAGGTTAAAAAATCTTTGTTTTCGAATTCTAGCGTCTGAGTGTTCTGCATTTTCACAAGAAAATTTGCAGGCTAAAAATAAATTTTAATAGACTATCGTAAATTTTCTAAATTTAACTTATTGTTACTAAGTCTGGTTTTGTCTCTGGCCGATAAGCTTTAATGTAATTTTGTTTCATTATTACCTGTGGTTATTATATTTAATATGTGCATAACCTTTTTCGGATTATCATAAAAATAGTTTAAAATGTTTCCCTACCTTTTAAGATTTCTGATGATGTATTCTACTTGTAATGTAAAAAATAGTATTAATGTGAGAATCTGGTAATAAATGTGAAAATAAGAACTTCTAAATGATTATATTAAAGGCATTGCTTTTAAGTTAAAAGACAAACTACTGTCAAACAATAAATATTAATCTGTCATGTGTCTGATCAGTCTCTCCCATTTAAAAAAAAAAATAATGTGAATGAAAACAGCTCAAAATAACATATTGTTATTTCAACTTTAAATATAGAAAATTCCTGCAATAGAAAGTGAATATTTTTAGTTGTATTTAGTAATTTACAGTGAAAGAAAACTGCTATATTGTTTACTGATAGAATTAGTTTGTATAAAAGTTGTAGAATATCCATTGTAGCTTTCCATTTTTATCTTTATAAAATTTAGATGAAATATTTTGTTAAATTTATATTAAAGTTTAAACTTATTCTATTGTTACAGTTTTTAAAATATTGGCCATGACTGGTCTACAAGAGAATATCTTGTAAAGAATAAAAATAAATTATTTGAAACAAGATTGTTTGCTGAAATGAATATATATAATATTAGAAAGACATATATTAATGTGTTTGTAAATGAAGTAGTAAAATTGCGTATTCTGGAGTTCCTCCATGATGATGGCTGTTACATAATAATAGCTGCTGGAAGTTGTCAACAAATAGCTGTAGTTGTGTGGCAGGTTAGGTTAAATTACAATCTAACATGTTTTTATTCTAGTTTTGAAAACCATATTCTGTTATTTTTGGGAGTTTTGTTCATTTGCTAATTGTTATTTAGAATAGTATTTGATTTATTTGCTCCTTAGAAAGTCACATAATTACATCAAGTTGAACAGTATACTTAATGTCGTACTGAAACAGTTATTTTAACCTCTATGACATTACTAGAGGAAAGTGTTTTCTTAGCAAAATATATATTTTAAAGATAAAACTTGAAACTCTTACTAATCTTTTTATTTGTAGAATGTAATTAAAATTATTGCTTTACACATATTTTAGTAAACTTGTTAACTCAAAACTGTTTTCGTTAGGTAATGAAGTTATCATGTATTTATAGTATTTTTTATTGATGGTAACCTTAAAAAATTGAAACATGCTAACTTTTTTATATAAAGAAAGTCAATTGTGCGTATGGGGGACTGTGTGTGTCTTTGTGATTCTCGGAATCAGACAGCAAAACAGTGAAAATATCTCGTGTGCATTTTCGGAATGTTTTTTAATAACTAATATTTGTTTACTTTGCACATATATTGTTATATATATTTTATAAAGTTTTTTTCCCTTTTAATGGCTGAAAGTAAAGGAAAATTAACGTTCACAATAATTTATCGCGGTGTCAAATTCAGGGTTTTCATTGTATCGAAGAGCTATGTTGTCAACTATGTGTAAATGAATTTTATTAATGGGCAAGATATTTTTCATAGAAATTTTGGTATTTTGGGAGGAAGTGGAGAAAGGGTTACATTTAATTTTATTTTACTATGTAATTTTGAAATGATCTAATGTTTATACCTTTTGCCTATAACTTTTGTATATTTGCCTACTTATTTATCATAACGATAATCGTATTAATTAACAATATTTAAAAAATTATTGTATGTTTATTTAACGACAGAGTTAGGGTAAGTAAGTGTACTAACTTGTGCTCCTTGCTTTTTTTTTTTTCTCCTTGGTGATCCTGTTACCCTGATGATGCTGTTGACGGTCGCGTTTCTGTGCTGACTACGAACTTCACAATTATTATAAACTTTAATGTGCCGCTTCTGTGTGATGAAACATCATTTTAACATTATTCTTCATGCATTGTGTGTTCATCATGGAACTTCATTTTATTGGAACTGTTATGAACTTTTTAAAACATAGCGTCAATCACGATTTGATCAGCCACCAATGGGTGCAACTTATTCCCCAGGCGGAGATCCATTGAATGAAATGGGGGGTGTCCCTGCAGGAGGTCCTGGTGTAAGGGGTAGCATGCGTGGTGCACCCATGCCTCCTCATGAAATGCTGGAAAATATGGATGATTATGGGATGGATCCCAAAAGACGACGATATTAAAAGACCATAAGCAAAAATGGACTTCTTGATGTCATTTTTCTTATATCTGACTAGCACTTATACTTTCCAGTGTTGTGGTACGAACACTTTTATGTTAGTGTTAGCCTGGTGCAACAATGTTCCACTTCAGTCTCTAAGTAATTTGTAACTTTATTTGAATATCTCAATCTTGTAATTGGTGTATGAACAATAAATTTCTTTTTATTGTATTATTTTCGTGCAAATTTCATTTATTTTATTAGAACTAAAGTGATTCCTAGTTATTTAAAGATAAAATCTGGCAGATAATGATCTTATATTTCTAAATTTTTACTTTTCTGCTAGTTTATAAACATAATTTTGATTACAAATCTGTACATTTCTTATTCATCAGCTGACATTTTAGATTCATAGTATTATTTAAATTGTGAAACGCAACTTTATCATGGTATAGTTTATCTTTAGAATGGTAATGTATCTCTGATAACGTTATATAAAATAAATGCCTTAATTTTGTACCCTATCCATAACATTAAAAATCATTTGAAATTATTTTATTTATCATCTTGAAATAAATAAATAGTCTCCAGCTTTCAAATGACATAGTGAATTTTCTGGAAGGAAGTACATAAATTAAGTTCTTTAATAGTGTGCTTTACATCCTGTAATAATAATTAAAAGGCAGGGATATGTTGATACTTTGGAAAGCTTTTGTGTCCCGAGTTCTACTTTGCTTCTGATTGTTAGTTGTGTTTAATATTGGCAATATAAAATTATTGTGTTGCTTTTAGCATTTTTCATTTCTAAAGCATTCAACATTACTATTACAACTAGTTTTCTACGTCAGTGAAAGTTGAAAATTTTTATTAAATTAAGAAGCTCCGATTTGCTACGTAAACAATAAATGTGTAAAGCAGCCAATGTTAATATTTTGTAATAGAAAATCTTTGAACGGATGTTTTGATGTCAATTGATTATGTTCTATGTGATGTTTAAAATTCCTGTCATTGTGCTGAACATATAGATGATTCAAGCAATTAGTAATGATTCGTAAATCATCCAAATTTTCATTTAAATGTGATAAAGTATTTATACCAATTCCAAAAAAGAGTATGTTTGGATTTAAAATTTGAATATGAAATCTTTCTTGATATTTTATTTATGATAAAATATGTAGTTATGTGATGGGTACAGGGTAAAAATTTGTTCTTCTAAGAATTCTAAAAAATAAAAAATTTTATTATTGGTTGATCTGTTAAGATAACTAAATGCTAGTAGTTTTCACTCTGTTCCAAGTAGGTCTAGATATTTGGCTTTGTAGAACCCCCCCCCCCCCCCAATATGTAACCATGAATCAGTTTTTATATGAAAATCCTTCATAGAAGCATACCATCTGCATTGTAGCATTATAGGTTGTAATCCGGTAATGCTATATTTTGTAACATTTTATCTTTCTAAATTGAAAATTTTTGAAGTCATCACAATATAATTTAAGAGAAGAGGAATGTGAATCACTAAAAAATACATGCAACTGAAAAGTTTAAAATGCTGTTAAAGTTTGCAGAAAATTTTTTCTTTATGAAGACAAAGGATATTAATATTTTAAATTTAAACTGCAAAATTATGCCTAGAAATAGATGAAATTATATTTTATGTTTTCTTCTCATTATAGTATTTGGGGGTTGGAGTTGGGTTATTAAAAGTTTATATAGAAATGCATGCCGAAATGAAACTTCTGTTTGTTGTGTTGTTGAATTATTAACGGTACACATATGTTTTTGAACCCATAAAATGACACCAAAACTATACTTGCATTGCTTGAAATATTAAGCTTTTTGTAAACTATCCTGATCTTTACAGCTAAATGTTCGTTTTCCCCCTCTATGCAGAGAATCAATTCACAAAATACTTTCATCAATAAAAATATCCATACATATTAGAGAACATTGACAACTGTAAGGTTTTATATAACATAGGGGGAGAGCTTCTAATATGTTTCAGTTGAAATTCTGTATTAATTTATTTACAGCACTTCTTTATTACAGCAATTTATTCACTGCATGAGTGTCCGTTTAACATTGGTATTTTAAGATGTAGAAAATATAGGTGTTTAAGCATCTGTATTCTACACAGAAGATGCAAGATTGCTTTTTAAAATTGTTATACTTACATTTGCTAGCCATTTTAGCTATTTTAACTGCAAACATTTTATATCTCTTAATTCTTGAAATCATTGCATTTAAGTAAAACCAAATGTATCTTCTGAAATTAAAGCCCTGTAACAAAATCTATGTGAAAATTCTTACTGTTTATCATTTGCGAAAGAATTACATATGTGTGTCTGAAAGCACATGAATTCAGTTATAGTGAAACAGTTATCACGATTAATTGTGGGTGTAATAAAGAGTTGGTTTATTACGTTTTTCTGTTAAAAAAACTTCATTGTAACCCTTGTCTTGAAAAATGTGTAACTGATTCATATTCATCACCACATGAATAAACTTGATGTTTAAATTAATGATTATTTTTTAGCTTAAAAATAAATATTTTATGTTAATTTATTGTATATTATTTCTTCATAGCTCTCAATCAAGAACTTAATAATTCAAAAAACAACCTCTTATAATATCTGCTTAATATTAAAGATATTAAAGAGCATCAATAAACTCACTGTACTTAATTATGAATTTAGCCACTCTTCCATTACAGAAGCAGTATAAAACACTTTCTTTTTTGTCTAAAGAAATATGAATCCCAATCCTTGAAATGTCATTGATTAAATCGATCTATAACAAGCGTCTTATTTTTTTAAAAAATCCCTTTAAAATTGAAGCAATGAGTGAAAATTCTGATTAATATTGTATATGGATATGTTTGCCTTCTAGCTGTTTTATCTAAAACAAGAAGGTAATTATAAAGTATATGAGTTTTATGAAGTGAATAAATTAGCATGTATCTAAATGTTGTATATCGATTGCTAAAACTAAGTTTAGTATGAAGCATTAAATAAAAATCATAACTTACCCTCTGTGGTTTTTCTAATTTTCTGGGATTAGCCTTGCTGCCTTGAGTATAAGCAGATTTTTGATGTTAGCTGATGATATAAGAATGTAGTATTGTAATTCAGTATTTGTTGATAAATCTTTTTTTTTATTTTTAAAATTGATTTTATCTATTTATTGCTTCAGAAGAATCTTGAAAAGAAAGATTCTGTATAATAATATAAAATGAACCTGTTATATTTGAATCAGAAATCATATTTAAAAAAAATTGGGAAAAGTGGAAAAGAATCATTAAAAAAAGTTTATTCATGTTCTGCCAGATTATAGCACAAACTTTTTTTTTTAAAAGCTCCAAAATCTAGCTTGCAAAATTAAAGATAATAATGTATTTGATATACAGATATAAAACTCAAAAGAATTTTGTGATAAATATGGTAATTGTCCAGATGCATTCTAAGTAACATGGAAGATTATAGAACAAATATAATTCTTCAAGCTTATTAGTTTCATCAAAAAGTTTTGTGCATTTTGAAACTAAAATTCATATTTTACATTTCTTCAAATCGAGTATATAATTAGTATGATGAGCTGAAGCTATTTTATTAATAAAAAAAATTGACTGGGAATGTAAAAGAAAGAAAGCTTGATACATCTTACAGTGTTAGTAGGATATTCAGAATTAAATACATAAATTACACTTTGGAGATTAACATTTTTTTGGATTACAATAGTGGTTAGTGGTATTTTGTACTGAAGTTGTTACTTAACTCCCTTCCATTTTTGTATTAACAATCGGTCGTTCCACTGCTTGTGTGAAAATTTAGATGCAACGTAAGTCAACTTTAAAATTTTCTATAATTGGATTAGAAAATGTAAGTTACGTTATCATAGAAAAGATAATAATTTTTTAATAATTTAATGTAATTAAAAGCTGCTTAGTATTTCAGAAATATGTTAATCTCTATTTATTTATTGTACATTACACTAATCATTTAAAGAAACCAAGATGTTTTCAAAATGATTAATTTGGACATGTTTGGAATTGAACTAAATGAAAAGAGTGCAAGTTTTTAACATTTATTTCTGTTTTTGTATGAATTTAGTTAAAAAAAATCACTAATTCATACTGTAGAAATTAGTAGAAGACTGAATTTAATAAAGAATTTGTAGACTTCTGCCATTTTTGACATGGAAGTGTACTGCATTGACGAATTAAGATGTTGTCCTTTTTTTTTTGATTAAAAGTTCTTGAATTTAGCATTCTTCTAAATTATAAAATTCTATTTTCAGATATTAAGTTATTTGCAAATGTTAGATTTAACCTAATTCATAATTTTTAAGCTGCGAACTTAGACTGCATATCTGGTTTGACGAGCTCATATGAACTGCCGGAAACAATTTATTTACATACCCAAAGAAAAATTTGGAGACCTCTATGCTGTAATAAAATTTAAAATTTCTCAAATAGCTGCACCACAGGTATTATAAAATTAAAACTTATAAGGCACGTAAAATGTTTTACGTGCCTTATAAGTTTTAATTTTATAATACCTGTGGTGCAGCTATTGAAAGTACCTGTTACTCTTGAATGATTGATCATAGACATCAGGGCTGTGATGTGTGTATGAGGCACCTTTGCACAAAGTTGTATTTCAGCACCCCCCATCATTTATAGTAATTTTAAAATTAATTCCTGAAAACTTTTATTTAGTGTATTAATAAAAGATACACTAACATATGCATAAAAATAAATTGTCTAAAAAGTAATTTCCTGAGTTATAAAAACAAACAAAAGCATTCCAGACTAGTTTATGTATCTTTCACTGCATTTTTATTCTACAAGGTTTAGCTGCTGCAAAATTCTTAAATCAAATCGAGTACAAGATCTTTGTGTATAAAAAGTACTCGTCATCAGTTTCTATTGGTATCAGTGATAAATTAGCAAGATGTTTGTTTCTTAATTTCAAAATCTTTTATTAATTTTAGCTCTATAATATGTAGATGCTATTCAACAGCTTGTATACTGAATGTCATTTCCCGAATCATTTTGCTTACAACGTTTATGGTTTTAAGATGTACTAAGATCTTAAAACCATAAATGATAAAAGAACTGTAAATGAATAAATATTTCATGTTATTAATTTAGCTGTGAAATCAGTTCTTACACAGTATCTAAAAATAAAATAAATTTCTGTAATGTACAGTGGTCCTATCAGCTCTTCTTTCTGATG